TGTACTTAAATGCTCTGGAAACAATTTTTTGGCTTTCTCTCTACATATCAATGCAGGGTTTTACATGTATCTAGAACTACTAAACTAACCGCCCTTCATTGCAAATTGGAAATTATTATTTTGTGTAAAACTGGGACTTTTATAGTTCATATTTTATTGAAGTGAGATTTTTTTCATGAATTTCAAGTATAGTAATGTATAACTCAGCATTTAAGGCGTCTTCCGCCTTTTGGCCCTGTTCTCAGTGAAATACAAATTGCCTCTGTTTAACTATAACATTAATTAATATTACACTCACAGGAATTTTGAATTTTGTTACACCAACTTGGGAGATGACATTTTCCACACACTTGGGATAAATATCATCCTTTGACCAGGTATAGATCAATTCCTGCTATGTGTGCAGTCAGTGTGTAATTGCTTCAGTTTGAATATAAAGTGAGAAAAAATGTTTAAGATAAATACAGTATCAATATGCATTTGCAAGCACAATGTGTCAGGTCCTGTGTAACCACAGTGTAATTGGACAAATGCAAACCATTCTCTCTGCTAGGCTGCCAGGAATCTTGCCATTGTATATCAAAGAATAATAAAATGATGATTTCTTTATGATCTGTTTGCACTGGTTTGTGTTTATAATCTTGTGATTACTTCCCTTGCCACACGTAGAACATGGCAACCTGTTAAGATCCGGCGTAGAATAGGTCTTAAGCAACCCATACTTGCCGTAAGAGGCAACTATGCTTGTCATAAGAGGTTACTAATGGGATCGGGTGGTCAGGCTTACTGACTTGGTTTATGCATGTCATTGTATCCCATTTGTGTAGATCGATGCTCATGATATTAATCACTGGATAGTCTGGTCCAGACTATATTACACAGACCATTGTCAAACAGCTGGAATATTGCTGAGTGAGATGTTAAACAACAAATAAACGAACAATTACTTATATATCATCCTAATTGGATTTGCAATGTAACCCATTTAACCAAAATAGTTCATCACAAACTCACATGAGCAATTCTCTGGAGATTTCGTCAACCTCAAACTTGAAATGTAGTGGTCTTGGTCACCTCACAGAACTTGTTGTGTTCAGTTTGCAGCTTTTGTGTTTGAGATAAATTACCTATTGTTTTCATGTAACAATACTTTGCAAAAGGCTGTTAAAACATCAATATTCCATTACTGTGTTACAGAGTGCTAGTAGTGCATGGAATGATGTAGAAAGGTCTATATGCATAGGTAATCCTTGAATGTTGCTGTACACTACAGTGCAGAAATAACTTTCCCCTATTCTGTAAACATTGTCACTGTGATTGTCGTTTACTTATTATACGGTAAATATTGTATATCGCTCTTTTTTACGAAGATGTGTTGACGAAACAATTTCAATTCTTTTGACCTTCATGAAATGCTTTAGTACAGGTGGTCGCAGCCTTTTTCAAGCAAGTGATATTTCAGTATAGGCGCTGGTACCCTCATCAAGCAAGAGTTAATTGTGGTACCAGTACCAGTGTCCCGTGAAGATCCGGCGTAGAATAGGTCTTCTGCAACCCATGCTTGTTATAAAAGGTGACTATGTTTGTCGTAAGAGGCGACTTACGGGATCGGGTGGTCAGGCTCGCTGACTTGGTTGATGCATATCTTCGTATCCCCATTGCGTGGATCGATGGTCATGATGTCAATCACTAGATTGTTTGGTCCAGACTCAATTATTTATAAACCGCCGTCATATAGCTGCAATATGGCTGAGTGCAGTGTAAACAACAACAACAACAAAAACCCAAAAAACCAACCTATGCTGGTCGTAAGTCGTGACCGAATCGTATCCCAATTGCGTGGATCGAAGCTTATGATGTCAATCATTGGATTGTCTAGTCCAGACTTGATTATTTACAGACCACCTTCAACTAGCTGGAATATTGCTGAGTGTGGCGTTAAACAAGCAAACAAACAAACTAGTACCAAAACATCTCATTAAGAGAATAAAGAAGTTGCAATCTATGTCAACCCTGTTCTAGTGATACTTCACAGACCCCAAGTAGATTGCGTGTTTGAATAGGGCCCCAGCAACCTAAGCTGGACGTGAGAGGCGACCAAATGGATCGGGTGGTCTGGCTTGGTGATTTAGTTTGTAGCGATTTCTCATATACAGATTGTTGCTCACCATATTGATCACTGGATTGTCTGCTCCTGACATGGTTTATTTTCAGACCTCTGACATATTGCTGAAATATTGTTGAATGCAGCATTTAAAAATATACAAACAAGCAAACAAATGCAGCTTCTATGATGTTACTTAAAGATATCTCTGTTGTTTTTGTTTTTTATTTTAATTACTGTTGTACTCATTTGTTTCTGAAGTTGAAGAGGCACCTGGTGTGCTGATAAGTGAACTTTGTCCTCTTAACTGGATCAGACAATAAGGGAAGTTATTTTTGATCAGTTGTGTATCTACCTCTCATGCGGTCAACTCACACATCTTTGTTGTTCTGTGATGTCCTCAGATAATCATAAATAAAACATGAAGATGCAACTTCAGAGGGAACTTTCATTACGATCAAATGAAGAGAATATTCTGGTTTTGAAGAGACGGCGATAGCTTATTTGTTGTTAAAGGGAAGGACGTTTGTTCACTTTTCATTTCTATTGAGGACCATGGGTAGATAAGTTTTTGTGCAATGATTTGTATTTGATGTTAGTTTTAGCAGATCATATCTTTAGTAAATGGTTTTAGTCAGGATGGTAGAAAAGTACTCAAACAGTTAAAAAAATCTTATCAGAGAAGATTGGTCATGAATGGTTTTTTCCTTGGTCAGGCTGTATTCGAATTGTGCATTAATAAAAAATAGCAAAATAGACGATCATCATAGTCATGATGTGTTCTTGAAATCTGGTGTAATTTTGAGTCTTTGATTCCAAAATAGGAGGTGTATGCACTGCAGCACACATACAACAGTCTCCTTGTAACTGGTGGTATAAAGCTGTTTTGATGTAATATTGCTGACTTGGCTGTTATCAGGCGACTGATGTTGATATAATATTGCTGACTTGGCTGTTTTCAGGCGACTGATATTGATGTAATATTGCTGACTTGGCTGTTTTCAGGCGACTGATATTGATGTAATATTGCTGACTTGGCTGTTTTCAGGCGACTGATATTGATGTAATATTGCTGACTTGGCTGTTTTCAGGCGACTGATATTGATGTAATATTGCTGACTTGGCTGTTTTCAGGCGACTGATATTGATGTAATATTGCTGACTTGGCTGTTTTCAGGCGACTGATATTGATGTAATATTGCTGACTTGGATGTTTTCAGGTGACTGATATTGATGTAATATTGCTGACTTGGCTGTTTTCAGGCGACTGATATTGATGTTATATTGCTGATTTGGCTGTTTTCAGGCGACTGATATTGATGTAATATTGCTGACTTGGCTGTTTTCAGGCGACTGATATTGATGTAATATTGCTGACTTGGCTGTTTTCAGGAGTCTTATATTGATGTAATATTGCTGACTTGGCTGTTTTCAGGTGACTGATACTGATATAATATTGCTGATTTGAAGCATGAAAAAACTTTCGCTCACTCACTACCTCAATTGTTATATATTCCAGTGTGTTTTGTTGTCTTTGTGTTCAATTGATGCTCTACAGGAGTAAAATGGCTCCATCAGTGTCAAGGCAGCATGTTTTATTTTTTGCTTTAACTGCTCGTTGGTTCTCAATCTGTATTAAGTGGTCACTGGTACATAAAAAAGTTTATCATGATAAGACAACTAAGGAGTAGATGTCATTAGTTTAAATAATTCTAATCCTAAATTTTCAGGTCTTTCTTTTAAATTGGCAGGTCTTATTTCAAGTTGGTGGCGATAAGAAAGAAAGGTAGCCGTTCAATGAGTCACAGAATTTTTTTTGTTTCTTTGCCTGGCCCAGGCTGTAATTTGCTAACGGCAGTGGTAAACAGAGGAAACAAAACATTCAACACAGTACCAATTCCATTCTATCATAATTATTAGACATTCCAATGTTTTGGACAGCAAAACTAAGTATTGAATGTTGAATAGTCTGGCTGAAATATTTCTAACTAGAGCATAAATAAAACAACAAAAACAAAACATTCAACAAACTACCAATGCCATTCCAATGTTTTGGACAGCAAAACTTTGTATGGAACGTTGAATAGACTGGCAGTTTGTTTTGGGCCAGACTGTTTAATAACACATGACTGTGCGGCACCTACGGCCAGTGTGTCTTCCTGACAGTTGAACGCCGCGATATTACTGGAATACTGTTAAAAGTGGTGTTAAACCCAACTCACTCACTCACTCCTGACAGTTGCAGGCTTAAATCCACCCCGTACACTAGGATCTCCCTCCTTGTATAAGATTGTCGTCCTCACAGCAAATATATGATGTCCTTCTTGTAAATCCCTCTACATATGCAATAGGGACAACTTACACGGATGAAAATCACTTCTTTGCATGAATACAGTACTATAAATATCTCCTTTCTAACAGATCAGTAAGGGTTGGTGCACAATTGAAACCCATGGGAATGCCAACTTTGTGCCTAAGTGTCCTGTCCCCAAATGTACTAGGATCTCGTCCCTTGTATGTTATGTGATTATCTTCCTGAAGGCATTTTGGCTTTCATATATATGTTGGCCCTTCTTATAAATCCCACTACATTATGCAATAGGGAAAACTTACAAAGATGGGGTTCACTTATTTAGATGACTACAGTACTAGTTACAAGTATCTCCTTTCTAACCTAACACACTGTTTGTCTTGTGATAGCAAGTAAAACATTATGGTGGTTGCAGGATCCTAACACCAAGCTCCACTTCTACTTGGCCTGATGAGAGACACTTTGACAAGAAGTGATTGATATTATCTACAACTTGATCATTATGTGTCAAGAAGAATTTCAATGCCTGTTTCTCATTTCAGAGCTGCTAACTGTTTTATGAAGTGATGTTGGAACAGAGAACACCATTATCATCCGACAAGAAGAAGGATCTGATGTTTTCCATGGTTTTTGTGTATTATACATACTCACTGATGGCAGACTTAAGTGGAAACTGTTGATTCCTATAAAGTCGGTCTGACAACTGGGTAACGCATCTACCTATCCCACTTCACGATGAAGTCATGCTGAGAGTTTTATCCGCTGTGAGGACATGTTATGATTTAATCACTGAAGGAGAAAACAGGAGGATGACTTAATACACCTGCCCTTTGCACGACAGGAAATAATCATGGATGGTGTATGTGCACATATAAAACTCCAACAGAACATCCTTCACACATAGGAGTCAGTTCCATGATGATTAATTGGGATTCTATGAGGAAAGAAATATCATAATGGTATATTAAAGAATTCCTTCACATTTCAAATTTATTACACTATTCTGACTCATCTACGACCCGCAGAGGGAACTTATTCGTCAGGATGATTTCTTGAAATTTGTTTCTACATTCTTGAGGGTTACAAGTTCGTTGTTTGGATGTGTTTGTTTTGGGAAAATATTTTCTGTTGCTGATTTGTGTTCTTTACCATCAATGATGTGTGCTTAACAGACTGTTTTCGGTGGAGCATCAAAGTACCAGGTATAAAACAACCAGAGCACGTTGATGACAGATGCAGACATTGTGGAATACTTCTGGATTTGTTTTACAAAACAATTGACCAAAAACTGAAGTGCATGTCGTACACGGGATCTCTATGTGTTGAAATCATTGAACGATAAGTGATTTCATGAATCTGATTTCAAAAAGAAAATACCTGGATATAACCTCAGCTGATACTTTGGAATTGTAAACTCTCCACTGATCCCAGGGATATGTGATATGTGCTTGAATTATATGTAAATACCTTTTGCAGTTTTAATGTCAGAACAACAGGCAACTGAAACACCAATCTTGTTATCCTGTCTGCGATACCATCATCAGCAACATCTTCAGCTCACGTTCACCCTCATGTCCAGTATTTTTACCTCTAATACCTGTTCAGACCTACTACAAGAGGCCATCCTTTTCTCTGAGACCATCTCAAAGAGTCTTCTTGCAGACTTGAAAACAAGAACTGCCAGAAAACTGTAAAAGGCCTTTTATGTATTTGCAAACTCGTGTCTGCCTGGATTCTATTGGGGAGGCTTGAGTGTGTGTTCAGCCCCTCCACTTTGAGCGGACCTCAGCCCGGACACCTCTGCATCACCCTCCCACCCCCATCCCGATATCTCCTAAAGTGTGCATTGATTGTAAAGAAACACCAGGTTCACACTCCTTGTAACCTGTAGCCTCCTCTGCCCTCAGCCTGCTACCGTCCCCTGCTTGCAAGCAAATCTGCGAGCAACCGTTGCCTCGAGAGACTGGCTATTGATGTTCCCAGGAATCAACGCTCTGTCGGCCCCTTTAATGACTACTGCATATGTTGCAGCAGCAGCACCCAGGCATGGTATATAGGCGTTGAATACGACTCTGCTGGCGATACAAGCTGGCATTGATAGAAGCTGCCTATGCTTGGCAGAGACAGGCAGATTCATGTTATCAGATTGCTCAATAATAAGATCCTGATCGGAGTGCTTGATAGCAGCATATGTGAAATCGGCCCTACCTGTATAAGCGCTTCTGATTGGAGGAGGAGACAAACAGGGGTGTGGCTTTAAGGCAAAGTTTGAATGATTTCATGCTTTTTTGAAAAGCAATTTATAAAGGTGGAAACGTTTGAAAACTTGAAAATCATTTGAAAATCATTTAGTTCAAGAATTGTATTGAGGTTGCAGTTAGTGACTGATTTGTTTTGAGGAGTGTTCTCACTGTAGAAGGCTGCATGTGAGAGAAAGTCTTTTGCTCTGGAGTGTTGTGGACAGGATTTCGAGACAATTTACAAATCCAACTAAAGACCATTTTTGATTTTACTCCCAGTGAAGAAGATTGTCACAAGATTGTGCTGCAAGTGTTTTCTTCTAGCTTCTGCAGAACTGACAGTTGTGTTCTATTGTCTCCAAATATTGAGCCAGCGGAGACAAATAAAGACACAGTTTGACATTTGGATGCGCCGTCAAGTCGGATGGCACCAAAGCTTGGTGAGTAGACAATTTAATCTTTTGTCTTCTGTTAGCTGACAGTTGGCTGACACAATATAAGTCAGCTACATCTGGTAAATGTCTTAGGACTTTGGTAAGAGAGCATTATACATATATGAAAAAACACTTTGACAAGTTTACCAAGTTTATTGAAATACAAAATTCAGAGCACTTGATATACCATGCAGGAAAAATTGATATTGTAATGGTAAACTCTGTATGAAGTCAGTCTAAGGATGGATTCCATAATAGTCTCCATATTTACAATTCAGATTTTAAAGATTGGAACATACTCATGTTTTTTGAGTCACTTACTCTGTCTTTTTATTATTATATATTTTTAGAATATTCAGTCTTTTATTTTAAACTAATTGTATGCACTTTGTTATTTTTTGGGAAAATCACATTTCCTATACTACCTCTGATAGGCTCAGTTGCATACCATTCATGTCATCGAAATTCTCATTCACATTGTCACGAAGTTTATAACTGGTAAAAATAATTTTGTTCAATTCATGAAGCAAATCTTCCTGTTTTTAATAGTTTCTGAAATAATGACTGAAGAACAATTAGTTAGAAATTAATCCTTGAAGGATTAGTAAATGTAAACCCCCAAATAGTTCCGTTTCTACATCTCAATTAAGGGATGTAGTGAAATGTTTCCCTTGATGAGGCTGTTAACAGTTTCCAGCTTCACGGCTCCAGTTCACATGATTCTCTTGTAGAACTTGTCTGGCTCCCCCAGTCACAGGGAATTACTTCTACTGTTCTCATACTGGAAATCTCAAAGTTCTTTCAGAGGATTAGGTTTACCTACAACTTATCATAATAGAAAGCTCCAAACTTGCACTAAGGTGTACTGTATGAAGCCTCTCATCACACAAGCAGCACGCTCTTCAGCATTGTTATGTGGGTAGTTGTGAATCCAATAAAATCAGCGTTGTAATTGAAATATTCTGAATATTGAAGTTCTTGTTTTGTATTTCAATTTTAATTTAAAACTTCAAATGATAATTTTCATCACTCGATAATCAACTTTTATGTTTTACTTCTGTGGTGGATCTAGAGGGAGGGTTTTAGGGGTGGCCGCACGCGCGCACGCACACACACCTCCCCTTGTTACAGCTGATTGTTAAAGTAAAATTATTACATATAGTTTTCATATAATATCCATGATTTTTGGGGGTAGGCTCTTGGGTGGACCCGTCCCCACTGAAGTGATGCCTCCATTTTAAAATCGTGGATCCGCCCCTGTACTTACTTGTACAACTTCTTTCACTATACATTTTGTACTTTGATGCTGGTTTGATTAAATCAAACCTATAATCTTTGGAAGTTACTCAAGACATTTTCAGGCCTGAATTAAGGTTAGTTGTGTGAAGGTAGTGAAAAATGTGCCAGTGATAAGTTAGCTGTCAATGGGTAAATAGCTTGCGTAGGGAATGTACAGATGGCAGGGCATATGTCATGAGGTTTCATTTCCATAACGGGGGGGGGGCACAGGTGTCCCAGTCGTCTAAGGTGCCGCGATTTGCTGTGCAGAGTTGTGTCCCTTTGGGCACGCCAGAAACCTATGATCGTGGGTTCGAATCCCTGTTCACCCTGATTATGTTTCTAGGTTTGTCAGCACCATACCCATGCTCATGGGTTTCACCAAAGTGGTAAACGTCTGAGACCTGCACTACTTCAGGCTTTCCTCCCACATTAAGCTGACACGCTGGGATATAACTGGAATACTGTTAAAAGCGGCGTTAAACCCAACTCACTTCTCACTCATTTCAATAACTATTGTCCTGCATCAGATTTCATGGGTCAGTCATCGTTAAATAATTGTCTCTCCCCACTGTGCCGAAACAATTGCATCATTAACTTGCCTCTCAGTATAATTATTTAGATAGCTATTTAATTCTTACAGATGTAGGTCATCAGCCCATGGTACATTATGTAATTCAGTATACAGCTCAGTCCAATCATACATTATAACACTGTGTCAAGCTTGCAGATTATAATACTGTAAGTTACCTAACACTCATTGCATGGAAGATAACAGTAGCTAAATTTCATAAAACTGTCCATTTGTGGTAGACATGATTATATTAAATTTTCCCAGATAGGTATTACAACAGTTTTAACCAAGTCAGAGGTGTGAAAGTGTGTCTCAAGGAAAAGGGGTAACTATTAATTCAGGTTCGATATTTGAATGGCAAAATTGCCTCTGTATGAAGTTATATGCTACTCACAAGAATTTCACGAACTCCTGATTCTTTCATGTGGCTATTGTGAATCTGTCATGGTATGACAGATCAACGGTAGTCATATGTAAAAACTGGGTGTGCTTAAACTTTTTTGATTGTATATAATGTTGCGTATTCGGCAGGTCATGCTGGCATGCATCTATTATGTTACCGGTGTTCTTCGGGGACATGTATCAGGCTGTGATGGGAACAATATTCACTGAAAATATGTATTGACCACAAGCATAGGCTTGTTGTGTGAGAGAGGAAAGCAAAAGTCTCACTACAGGTGATGGGGAGACCTTTTAGGGTGCTTAACATCTATTAGGACGAATATGGTATGCAGAATACAAATATGGGAGGTCCTGAGGTTAGCTCCTATGATATTTGAATACAGGGCCTCCTAATTTTTTAACTTTTAACATTGGGATTTTTTACAAGGACCCCCTGACTTTCATGCTTAATTTCGAACATTGTGGTTTGTGTTTTTGACACCTGTAGATTTATCCAACCAACAGGTCGGTGTATTCTGGTTGTTCCTGTCACAGACATCATGGTGACGAACATTTGGAACATATATCTCCAGGAGGTGTTTTTCGACATAAATATTATCTTGAAATGATTTTCGTTTATATTCCCTCTAGTTTCAGTATGGTGTAAAACCACGTCCAAAATGTACCATTTGCATTATCGTTCTGATAGGACCACTGGAATGAAAAAACACTGATGACAACTTGTGTCATTAAAAGACTGTCTTTAGCCTTGTCTTACACTCTCTCTTATCCAGTTATGGTACCCATTATATGTTAACTGTACAGTAGTTCTATTGCTGTATAGTCTGGAAGGTAATTTAAGGTACCGACGTTTACTACAATATCTGAAAAACTATCGGACATACTCCAGTCAAAGTTGGTATGAGATTATTAAACACTCATACATAACTGGATATTACATTTAAAGACAATCGGTGCATGAATAAAAAAATCTGTCTATTTAGCTATCACTATATTTCATCAACAACCAGACCTGTTCGTCACGGGTGGAATGAGCATTCTTTGAAACAGCCATCTGCATAATGCTACCCCTGCGTCACAGGGCCATATGACACAGTTGAACCAATCAACTCAACTCGAAAGGTTGCATGGGAATGACAGAATAGACAGATTTTTTATTCATGCACCGATTGTCTTTAAATGTAATATCCAGTTATGTATGACTGTTTAATAATCTCATACCAACTTTGACTGGAGTAGGTCCGATAGTTTTTCAGATATTGTAGTAAACGAAGGTACCTTAAATTACCTTCCAGACTATATATTAGACGAACGATCCTTTCTGACTGGGTCAGATGCATATTCTGCCGGCTGTATGAAAGTCATTAAGGAAGAGACAAGATTTATAAATGGAACAAGGTAGATAAAAGGCATTGTTCTGTCCATCGGATCGGCATAATTGAAGAAGCCCTTTAGAAGTTGTAATGAATTATATCAGATGTGTTGTATGAAATAGAGTAAGACTAAGAATTAACACCAAATGTCTGATTAATGTTTAAATGTTTAAAGAGATTTTTAGGAAGCAGTTTACTAATGTTTGAACATGATAAAATGAAGTGTTTGAATCTGCTTTTCTTGAAAAATACAGATAAAAACAAATGTATTGTAAACATTTCTTTTTGAATCACAGACTTCAACTAAATTGCTCATAGATTATACATTTTGTTTTGAGGTTTAAAAAACACTGCACACAACCCGACTTAATGATATTTACCGAAGCTCTGGCTTCTTTTAAATGCTGTTGTCTCAATAGGAGGAAGACGCATGGATATATATACTTCTAGATTTGAACATTGATGGCCATGGAAATTGGACAGTGAATGATTTTGAGAATTACACCTTGTAAAATACACAAAATAAGGACAATTTGAAAATAAATATTGGTTATTAGATCTCTTTATATTTTGGTGGGCCTATCCAAAAAGTACAGTCAGGTAGTATTTTATTGAGGTTGTTTCAGCAAATTGATCCTGTCCCATCACCTACGTATCTGAAATTGTATCACTGTTATGACAGTGGGTGGCCATGTGGTTCAAGTGTCGGCTCTGGGTGAAGAAGACCTCAGGTTGATTTCCACATAAGTACAAAGTGTGTGTACATTCTTGTGTCGAGATATGGCTGGAATATTGCTAAATGATAAACCTCATTCACTTTTTCTCAAGCATGCCTCCTTGGACATATATATTTCTGAAAAGTTGTAATAATGGTGTAACATGCTGCTCACTCACTCACTCACTATAGGAAAATATAGGACACTCACTCACTCATTCACTATAGGAAAATATAGGACACACACTCACTCATTCACTCACTCACTATAGGAAAATATAGGACACTCACTCACTATAGGAAAATATAGGACACTCACTATAGTAAAATATAGGACGCTCACTATAGTAAAATATAGGACACTCACTATAGTAAAATACAGGACACTCACTCACTTTAGTAAAATATAAGGCACTCACTCACTCACTTTAGTAAAAAATATAGGACACTCACTATAGTAAAATATAGGACATTCACTCACTCACTATAGGAAAATATAGGATACACACTCACTATGGGAAAATATAGGACACTCACTCACTCACTATAGGAAAACATAGGACACTCACTCATTCACTCACTATAGGAAAATATAGGACACTCACTCACTATAGGAAAATATAGGACACTCACTCACTATAGGAAAATACAGGACACTCACTCA